ATATCTCCACCACCTTGGTTACATTACCTTTGTAGTTATAACTTGCTATCAACATGTTCCACAAAACCATATCCCTGGATATCACAGAGAATCAAAGATGTGTTGAGCAATGGTTATAATTCCACACTTGCCGTAAACACTATTTGTGACACTACTGTCTTTAGCAGATCCCAAGATCAAATTCCCTTCTAGTTTCCAAATCCACCAAAGTTCCACAAACTATCAGTAGCACTGTTGCAAATATTGGCAGTGTTTCTTACAGCCGTGTGCATTCAAAAACTTTAAAACCATCTTGCTTTCCCCTTTTTTAGCATATCCCAGTACATTATAATGCTTCATCTGGTCAAACAATACTCGAGTGTCTAGCATGCTCTTAGACTTTGTGTAAGTGTCAACCAGGGTGTTGGAGATTGAGTTGTGGCAAGTTCCAAGCCATAATGCTTATGGCTGCCATAGAATCAAAGTTGTGCTGGCTTTCTTAATCATGGAATCATCACAGCTTACAAGCTCACATTCTTAAAATGAGCTAACACTGAAGACAGCTTTAACTCTAGAGGCTTTTGACAGGATGGAGGCTCAGATATTTTTCTCTTGCCTAGGATATAGCAAGCAAGTTCAGAGTGAACCATTTAGGAATCATTAAATCGGTATTAACATCATTGCCAACAATAGCCATAGGTACATAGCAACAACTTACATGAGTGATAGCCAAAGGTTTGTTTTATTTTCTTCTCTCTACTAAAGAAATTTTAGGCTATTGGGTGGGCTTAACAATAGATCCCTGAGTCAATTACTAACTATGATAGGTTGTTCAAGAGAATAAGACTTTTTTTTGCAAAGTTCTTTCTTCTAGATTTTGAGAGCTATCCTTAGACACTTTAGCAGTTTAAGAGTTAATAAAATAGCAAACATATCTAACCTTAACAAATCTCTTGAAATGGCATGAAAATTGTCAACCACCTAGCATTTGTTGAGAAATTGCTAATCTATAATAATGAGGGAGTGTTGAACTTTCAAGGCCGCTAGATCCAGCCAATGGCAGCCATCTAATGGAGGGTTAATCGTAAAAGGATTATTTCTTTAACCATGTCTTAGCAAATAATCATGCTAATGTTTGTTAATAGGAGGTGGCAAATTGCCTAGGGTGAGAGAAGAAGGCACTACTGTGCATATTGCATGCAATGTGTTGACCACGACTGTGCTTGTCGTTTATCAAGCAAAAAAGTTATGTGGGTTTTGCATGTGCTCAATTACGTGGCAAAAAAGTAGGGTATTGGGCCAACAGCTATGACTAACCCAAAGTTAATCAATTGCTTCATTCAGGATCTCTCTCTGCAATAGTAGTGGCAGCTAGCAACTTTAGTTTTGGGTTTCAAGACCATGTAGCCTACAATTACCAATCATTGCCAAACAATATCTCTTCACAACAACAACAAATTCTAAGTGATGTAGAGATGGGTGGAGAAAGCAATGAACCAAGTTTGTGTTTATCTTGATAAGGTAAAATTTGAGTGCCTTGCATAGCTTATGTAGATAAAAAAGACAAAAATAAATAGCAAAAGAGCCAGGAGAAAAAAATATTCTCAACTCCAACTCTAGAGAAAAAAACCTAGATACTTACAAGGCATGTATAGCAATTTGATAGAATAGATGATCTTGAGCATTCTCTTATGGAGTTGGAATTGGGCAATGCTTATACTAGCAATAAGTTCTTCCTTTGAAGGTTTTTTCAAAGATCCAACTTCTATTGGTAAAGACCATGTTACAGTGTCTTTAGTGACATTGAAGTTGGTAGAAGTTTTATCGTACGAGAAACTCTATGTTGCTCACTTGAAAAATTATCAAGCTCTCTTCCACCAGGTCTTGCTGCAGATCAACAATAAAAGTAGAGAAAATTTAGTTGCAAGCTCTATGATTATGTCAACATAGGAAAGAATCTAGGCTTTTGCAAGCAACAAGGATTAGGCAATGGTAGTGTTGCAATTCCAATTTGGATGATATTTGCTTATATCTTCTTCGAGACTTGGAACTTTTGTTGCTTACCTCCAGGGTATTTGGAACAAAGATTCGAAGCTAGCATGGAGGTGAAACAAGTAGATCAAGTTTAATACTTTTTGCAAGCTTTACTTAGTCTTTCTTTCTGTTTTTGCAGATGCATTTTACATTTAAATATCAATTTAGAGATGAATGTCAAAAATTTAACAGTTGTTCCTAGAAAGGAAAGTGATTAGATTCTACCTTATCAAGATAAACACAAATCTAGTTCACTACTCTCTCCACCCATTTTTACATCATCTAGAGTTTGTTGCTGTTGCAAAGAGACATTGTTTGGTAATGACTAGTCTACATGGTCTTGAGACCCCAAATTAGAATCACTATCTACTACTGTCATTGTAGAGAAAGATCCTGAATGAAGCAATTGATTAACTTTGGGTTAATCATAGTTATTGGCCCAATGCCTTGCTTATTTTTTGCCACATCATTAAGCACGTGCAAAACTCATATAATCTGGGGCAAGAGAAGAAGGTGTTGCAACATGTTTCACATGCAAAGTGTTGATAACAAGCTCCATTGGCACCAAGAAATTTTTCGTGGATGATCTTTTTCATCAAGTTCTCAACTTCAAAAGGGCTCTCTAGCTCAACCAAATCAAATGGTGTAATGCACCTTATTTCTCTCCCCTTAAGCCAACTGAAAAAGGGGTAATTATTTAATGAGAGAGCTCTTAGTGGTTATTTTATCCCCATTTATCCCCCAAGGTTCCAAGGATCTATGGTGACAGTATATCCAAATCTCATCCCATGATCACATGCATTACAAATGGCCACTTCCCAAATATGACACTTGAGTTCTGACACAACGATTCCTCCAATCCCTGCTGCAACACTTCTTTCCTCTCTTGCAAAGAGGAAACTTGAGGAGAAATTGATGAACTTCGGCAATTTTGCCCTTAGCACAATTTTATTTGAAGTGGTGCTTTTTAGGTGAGAAGAAATGTGAGAGGAAGAAAGAAGCTACAGCCTCCCAGCTATGATCTAGCACAATCATGCAACAGTAGTGATATATATATGTTATATCCACAAAGCTATCCTTAATTGAAGGAAGGGAAGGAATTTGACAAGCCCAGAGTGATGGGAAGCTATGTCTCACCAAAGATCAGTAGAGGAGGAAAAGATCCCAATAGAGTTGGTGGCAATGCTAGAAGTTCCTACGTCCAGACAACATCCATCTGTAACGCATGTGATCATGGGATGATATTTGGATATACTGTCACTGTGGATCTTTGGAACCTTGAGGGATAAATGGGGATAAAATAGCCACTAAAGGCTCTCTCATCAAGTAATTGCCCCATTTCCAGTTGGCTTAAGGGGAGAGAGATAAAATGCACTACAGTTGGTATTAAAGCAAATGACATGGGTTTGATTCCCATTGATTAGTGGCTACGTAAAATACGATATACCCTTGAGCAAAGTATATTCCTACCCTTAAATTTGAAATCGTACATATTGGGCATCCATGCGTATGTCTTTCCTCTTGTGTGGAATATCCACGGATGAAGGTATCTACCGTGGGACTGCAGTACGGGTGGATGACTGGTCTACATAATGGAAGGACAATAAGGACATTGATCTCTAAAGGCGGGGGTGAGTATAGCGTATGTGATCATGGGATGAGATTTAGATATACTGTCACGTGGATCTTTAGAACTTTAGGGGATAAATAAGGATAAAATAGCCACTAAAGGCTCTCTCATCAAGCAATTGCCTCTTTTTCCAGTTGGCTTAGTAGATTCAGTGCGGAAATGGAGGTGTTAATTCCCCTTGGCTCAATAGGGGTTACTAGTCAATAGTCAATAAGGACATTAATATCTCTAAAGGGGGGGTGAGTATAGCGTATGTGATCATGGGATGAGATTTAGATATATTGTCACCGTGGATCCTTGGAACCTTAGGGGATAAAGGTGCACTACACCATCCTATCCACTCTAGGAAAGAGTAAGCATAATTTGATTTCTTGCTTTTTTGTTAGATTGTGTAAAAAAGCATTGATGTGGCATTGCTTGGGTGCTTGAGATAATCTGCTCCAATTGGGAATAGGTACCATGCTTCTTTTTTGTGGAAGAAAAAAAAATCTCACAAAGAGCTTTTCCTTTGTTATCCAGCGGGAAAAGAGGAACACATGCATAGCACAATGATTAGTATGGTGCATTGCATTAGTTTTAACACTAAATTTACCTTTGCTAATTGTGTAGCTTTTGCTGGGCAAATACTAGTCAAAATATGATGGCATGTTTTAGAAGGAGGTCAACCTAGAGAATTCAACTATATTGCAAGATGTGTGTTTGGTGTCTATAAAGATTATTTTGTGAGTCACATGCCAACAAGAGTCCAGCTAAGGAAGATTATTCTTACCAAGAAGAAAACTGCAGGAATGTATGTTCCCTTGTAACTCATGCCACTTTTGCCCAAGCAAGGTGGCTGCCACCATTGCAAACTACTTGATGGTGTTTGAGGATGAGGACAAGATCATTTCTTGAGATCCTAAAAATCTCAGAGCTAGAGAATAAAAGCACGAAGCAATGGGGAGTGAGGGTTAGGCTACACCTCACCCCATCCCATCCCTCAAGATTTTGTGTTCCTCCAAGTGAACATATTCGGAGATTCCGTGTCAGCATTTGCAGTGTGTTGCAAGGTTGGATCATGGCTGGGTCATGTGTTGTTTTGCATCGTGAGGCTGCCATTGGCCAGCAAAGAGCAACTGGGCTGTGTTGGCAAGAGATCACAGAAGCATCGCTAAACTGGCATGTCAAATATATTGAGTTTGTTCATTACACCCTTCTAGGGTAGTACAAGCTTCTGTAAAGTAGCAGCACAATTTTTGAAATCTAGGAATGTCTAGGAAAGATCTTGTCCCAAGTCTCTTTGGGACCACTCAAATACCATCTTGCTTGGAAGTTGCTTTGGCTGACGAGCTGGGTGACAAATATTTGACTTATTCCATGCTGTAAGCTGCTCAAAAGAACATTTGGGCAGTCTCAAAAGATTGCAGGGCTGTGATAATGATCCAAGTTCCCAACAATGAAATTGTCCATGGAGTTACAATCACAAGTCGGATCTTTGGGCTGGAAGTGATCATTTGCAAGAGCACCTTCCAAGTCCATTCATTGTGCATATTGGTGACTTAATGCTTTCTCTAGAGGTTTTCATTTTGCGCTCTCTCGTGACTTTTGCTGACTTTGTAGTCAATTCTGCTCAGCCTAGTCAAGGACGTGAACGCCATTGCCAAAAGACTTTAAACACACGACAAAAACTCACCTTGGAGCTGTAGTACAACCGGCCAACAGGTGCAACCCATCCGGAATCGTAAGGTCCTTCGATAACAAGGATGCTCTCCAGGCTGCAAACTTATCCCGAACCTCCTGCTTGGTGAAGGCCTCTTCCGATATCGGCTCTCTGGGTGAGTCAGGGAACGAATGTAGAGAAGCTTCAACCAGCTGGTTTCCCTTGACCTGCACATATCCATCGATCTCAGAAATGGCATATCGCCATTCCCTCATGTCCATGGCATACAGAAAACAAACAGAAACTGATTTCAAAACACAAAACTAGAAACTGGTACGTACATGAAGATATGTTGGAGGTCTTGCTTGCTTCCCTAAGCTGGCAGTGCCTTTGGTGTGGCCATCCACTGTACCAGATCTTAGTGCGCAGATGGCGGTGCTTCACATCAATTCCCAATCTTAGTGTACACACATCCAGGATCGAGGTTGTGAACGCTAGAATGCCTGAATGCCAATCAAGCTCGGCCTGTTCCTCCTCAGAGGAGGTGACGTCGTTAGTAGGTAACCAGAGTTAGGAACTCCCCCCCACTCTGGTTCCTGCTCATCGTGCTTACACTCTGCCTTGTACCGCATGAAAAGGGCAAACGAACACAAGAGCCTAGAGAAAATGCTTGCCAGGCCTTGTCTTGGAAAACCAATGTGGCGAGCCGATGTGTACACATCTTTAAGGACGCAGCCTCCAACTACACGCACAGCGCTCTCCCTTCCTGGAAACATCTTTCGATTAAACCTGGAATGTCGAGAAACTTAGACACAAGACGAGGTCGAGAATCCTTACCGATCATAGGGATGCTTGGCATCTGGGATCTGTTCGATCAGCCCGTACCTGGAATAGTGGTGCTTCTTGCTGTAGGGCTGCGAGTTGGTCACGGAATCGTTGTGGGAGTGGGAGCAACTCCTTGAGCAGAGCCCCTAATGCGTTCCAAGACGAACCAAAACCTGCATCCCTCTGTTTCTTATGAGCTGCCCCCCTCCACCACTTCTGACCTTGGTGCCTCTCTTTTGGTGATGACGGCAGTGCTGTATATGATCGAGGTCACGCACTTGCCCCGAGGACGGGTGATTCCACCTCGACTCCTCAATTTTCGATCTGACGTTGCTCGCCGCAATCTACCTGGAATCAAGCAGTTTGAAACAATGCTTTAGCGAACTCTTAAGCTTTGGAAGTTTAGATAAAGTGCCTTCATGCTCCATCGAGCTTGAAGAACCTAGACATGAAAGGTTCTTGGAAGGATACTTAGCTGAGCTTGTAAACTCACCTTGCCAAGGTGAGTTTTGTTCGTGTGTTTAGAGTCTGTTGCCTTGAACAGGCATGGGCTTCAAGCGGAAGGAACAAAGGTCAAAAGCTTACCTCCACGATTAAACCTCACGTTAATCCATGGGGCCTCAGCACGGGGCATGCCCACCATCAGGTGCGAACTGCCAAACTTTCCTTGGAGTCCAGCGCCGCACTCGCTGGCCAATCAGGATACCCGAGTACAACTTGAGCTCTCCCACTGAGATGGCTGCAAAGCCGCCTTCAAAGCTCGGCATCCCGGTGTAAAGTGAGCGTGTCAACTTAGACTTCTAACTACAACCTGTAATATCTTAGAATCATTGTCTTTAGCCAGAGCGTGTTTCTAAATTGTTTGGATCCCATATTGTTCTGCAAAAATTACAAAAAGATTCACGTAAACTACGCATTTTCAAATGATGCTTTGTTCTCCGAACGAATGTCCTATGCCCGTTCTATTTCTATGCGTGCATTTGCCGGAAGGGGCAGCGCAAGCCTCCATCGTAGTATGGTCCAAGCTTGCCTGATTTCAGCGCTCCCAGCTCCGCCAGCTTGTATCCCTTCTCAAATGCCGGTGGCCGATACACATTCACGTTGAGCTGCCGGTACTCTTCCGGATTGGCAGCGGGATTAGGACACCAGTCCACCTCAATGCTGCCCTTTGCATCCTCCACACGTCTGGGAGGCAAGAACGCGGACACGAAGCTCCCGGCCAGCAGCTTGAACGCACCCAAGATGATCCACTCCACAATTGCTGGAGGCTTTTCCAATCCAACAGCGCTCCTGATTGTGGGATCGATGAGTGCACAGATCCCAGTCTCGACCAGCGGCTGCACGGGGCGAGGAAATGCATCCAGCACCAGATGCTTGAGATCCTGGACGATGCTCTTGTTCTTGTCCGTCAAGATGGCGTTCTTGGCCTCGTAATCGCGAATGTACTCCCGCATCTCTGGAATGCTATCTGGGATTGTTGTGATGCCCATCCTCACGCCCACGTCGTGCCACACAACATACGCGGCCTCCTTCTCGTTGTCGGTCCACTTGCGGAATCCAAATCTCTCGGAGAAATCAATGGGGCTGACCACGTTGAGGCAGAGGACGTAGGCGAATTGGTCGTTTGGGATTTTGAATTTGTTGTGGATTCCATTCAATCTCCTCACCGCGTATGAGCCGCGATCACTGTCGACGTGGTGGTGGATCATCTCGCTCACCAGAATGTTGGTCTCGGCGGCGCGCTTCTGCGGATCCTTGAGGCCGTACTTGGTCTTGAAGAGCAGATTTGTGATCCCCGGGATGCCGAGCGTACGGATTGTGCCAAACTCGAGCGCCTTTTGCGAGAGGAAGGGGAATTCCACCGAGTACATGTACCACAAGATCTTGTGTGCGTCTCTCACGGGGTGGAGCGACGCTAGAAATCGTGCCCTCTCTTCTCTCTTGCGGATACACACCATCTTCCATGCTGCAGCCATCACAAGAAACGCAATCATCAACACGATTGCAGCCATTTCGAAATGGTGAAAACTGTTTGATCGATCTGATCAACTTGATTGGAGAATGTTTTCTACTCCTCTGTGGGTTGAGGAAACAGAGGCTGGAGAGGGGTCTTTTATACTATCAGAGCTATTAGAGATCACATTTCACGTTTTTTATTTCCGTGTGATCCGTATTCTGTACGTTACACACATAGCCACATACTTGGAGAGAAATCTTGTTGTTTTATACGCTGCACGTTTTCCATACAGTTATCTGGTCCATGCAATTTATCGGTCCTACCAACTTGAACGTTTCACGTTTAGAACTGGATTCTGGTTCCTTAATTACAGATTTCACAAAAGATGCCAGAGATAAACTATATTTAAATTAGTATATTCATTATTTACCGTTGTCTCTCTTAAACTAACCATATAATACAATATGGTTTCTCGGTTTATTCATATTTATAAGAGATTTAAATAAATAATCTATTTTTATTGTAATGAATAATCTAGAATTTTCTAAAAGGTATATGGTCAAGTTTATTTTCTTTTATATTATTTATTTTTCAATTTAAAGTCATGGTTATTATAGATCAACTTCTATGCATTTGGTGTAAAGCTCTTGGAGCAGCCATGCCGGATGGATGACATCACTGGCAGCTAGATCCATGGAGTGGGCTGCTCGAGCGCCCATCAAGGAGGCTGTTGACCTGGACATTGGGTAACTGTGACTTGATGTGATTTGGCAGCTTCTTACTACCACTCTTGAAGCTCTTGAAGCTTAACAGCACAAGCTTGGTTAAGAGTAATTGCAACAATAATGTTGTCCCCAAACATGGCAAGCGCATGGTTAGGGGTTTACTAAGCTAGGAACAAACGGTTCACACTCTTTCTAATAAATTGGAATTGCCATATCTTATCATAAATTGGAAAGTCATAATAGAAAAAACCTTACAATTTGCTTCCTTGCTTTCCACGTTGACAGCTCCAACATCTCTTTTTTAATATATATGCTTGGTGTAGCAATTGCAGCAGCTTGTTCGGCTTCTCCAATTTGGTGAGAATCTGGGTGAGTGCACTAAGGAGATGCATCAGGCTGCAGTGTTGCTGCTGCTACTCTTTGGATTGTTCGAATCATTCTTCTGCAACAGCAGTGGCTTCCTCCATGCAACGTGTCAATATTAGTACATGCATTGGGCATGTTTCTTAGGCTTTCAACATTCCAAAAGTTCTTTTTTGTTTTTGTCTGTCGTCTTCAAGTGATGATGTAGTTGGCTACATTTCTAACACATCACAGGTTTAGGAGGTTCACAATAGCAAGTCTCATTCATCAGATCAAACTCTTGACGACGTATGTAGCAAAGCATGTATGTCTTTCGTGTATGATAAAGTCAAATCAAAATGGTTTGGATGTCAAATGCCACTCAAAATATTTCACAACATCAAAGGAACAAGTGATCATAATGCTTCTTAGATTGGACCTCCAACTATAGTTTACAATGTGCCTGGGCTAGCACCATTGAATGCAATTCATGACCACTTGAAATCCATAACTTCTATGTATCGAAGAGACTTTGATGGGGTATGTATGTCATATTTATTTGTTCAATGGCTTATATTTATTCATTTAAGATAAAGGGATGCTTAATTCCTTTTTCCTCTCAAGACATCTCTATGTCCTTGGGCTAGTGTTTTTGCCACAAATTTTGGCTATCTAGGATTAACTTGCAGATTGGACACTGCATTGAGTGCAACAATAACCATCCTTTTTTCAGGGTTATATGTGTACATGGCTGGTTGATATCCACTTATAGCAACTCAACACAGCACGTAACAATGGATGATGCTCTCATTGACCGTGCATATGGATTGATGGCCATCACCTTTCTTCAAATGTTTACTTCAACTGATTTATCTATGGCCATCAAACTCTGTAAAGACAATCCTTATCCAGAAGGTGGCTTTCTTTTGTCAGCCACTGTAAATGGGATCTCTAAAACTATGGCCTTCAAACTGAGGTAAATACATCAATATCAGTTATTCGAGAAAAACTTTCTATATGTTTCATGTTTCTATATGTTTCTATATGTTTTCTATATGTTTCTTGGTTTTCTTAATAGTACTGTTATTCCTACTTATTAATTCAATTGATCAAATAAAAGTTTATATTTTATAAACACAAGATTAATCTTATTTCATATCAACCATTAGATGGTAGAATAAAAAATAGTATAGTAGAAAGTGTTTAAGCAAGTTTATATATAAACATGTTTATAAATAATAAATATAATCCACTACCATCCCAATTCCTCTACAAATTTGCTTAAGGAAACCAAAAACAGACAAAAAAATGCAACTAATAACATAAAATGTGTGTGTGTAGCTAGTAGAAAGCTTTGGAGTTGGTCAACAGTAACTAACAATGGCACATAGAGATATTCCAGCCATAAGGTAGCAAATGTGTAACAAAGACCAGCTAGTACAACTCCTTCCTTTCTCTCTATGTGTTCTCTCTCCTTGTCTCATTGTTAGTATTTGGAACAATATTTGGAATATGCCTTAGGATGATGGACTATAGCTGCTAGCAACAACAACAATAGCAAGCTTTAATGAGTGTAGGTCCAGATCCAACAACTACAATGACTTGCAATTGAATTGGGTCCGAGGGGCACAAAGTAGGCCATACAGTAGCAAAAAGACATCTAGTGTGTGTGATGCAACAATTATGAACACTACCCAAATGAGTGTTCACAACTAGTGATGAATTGAGACAAGTGCCACTATTGTTGGCAAACTAATCATCACTAGGAAGATTATTTTTACAAGCCAGGAAATCTCCTGCAAGTTACATCAAGACCTTGCCGTCATCACTGCCATCTTTGGCTTGAGCACCAGTTTTCTTTCAACACCCATTTTCTCCTCCAATTCAGATAATGAGCTACAAGCTAGCATATGAGGAAACAGTACCAACCTATATGTGGAATTTGTCAGACACAAGGCTTGCATAAGCAGGACAATTGCCTGCACAAGCTTAAGCCAAGCAGAAAGCAATGCAATTTTCATCCAACAAGCTGCACCAAAATCTAGAGTTATGACATGGGCACAACAGCATTAGCATATGGAGAACTCTGTATTTCATGATGTTGAGGAGGAGGAAGAATTCTATACTTGATGATGCTGAGGAGGAGGAAGACCTAGAGAAAATTGCAAGAAAAAACCGCAAGGAGAAAAGAGAGAGTGAGCAGCCAAGATCAGATCCTCCCACTACAATTAACCAAGATAAACCAG